GAGGCAGGAAGCCAGGGACAATTGCTTCTCCTGTAGAAACTCAAGCTGCCCCAAGGCCCAGAGGAGCTAGTCCATTAGCTGTGGTCAGCAGGGGGAGAGGGTGGGGAGAGGGGGCGGCTCTCCCTCCAGGCCTTAATGCCAAGTGAAAGGCAAAGCTTTTGCCCCTCCATTAGAGTCCCAAACAAAACCAAAACAAAAAATGTGAAACCCTCCACACACATTCTGAAAACATACACACACAACCTCCTTATTTCCTCTGAAGGGTTGACGAAATGTAACTTGAGGGCGGGTGGGCGGCAGGGTACCCCCGGGCCAGACCACAGAGGGAGGGTAGGCAGTGGCCTCCCGAAGCACTTTGCAGGTTACATCTAGTCTAAGGAAGAGCTGGGGGTGGCGAGAGCTCCGAGAATGGATTCTCTTCCAACTTAGCTTCCTCTGGAACGGGAGCCAGTAGAGGGTCAGCCCAGCAGAAGGGAGAGAGGGTCTCCCGAGAGCTTCGGGGAATGGGAAGATGGAGGGGAGGGGTCCCGGGAACCCCCAGAGAAAATAGGTTCAAAGAGGAGCTGGAAAAGGGAAAGTGCTAGTTGTTACTGAGGTGAATTTGGAGAGCCGGGTCATTCAGTCTCTGGCCGGTCTTCTTGAGAGGGTTGGTCGCCCCTCCGTGTCCCCAGCCGCCGTCTTAGGTATGGGGCAAGATTCAGCCTGGGTGTTGGGGGATGTGGAGGGACCAATAAGAGGACAGTCCGCTCATAAGGGTTCAAGGAGAGAGCCGACTGGGACTACACCCCCCTCCCGCTCCCCCCCTTTCCCCGCCAGAACTTGGGCTTGTCCTGTTTGACGTGCCCGCGGGAGGGGGCGGGAGGGGGAGGGGGCGGGAGGGGGTACTGACCCGAGCTGCAGTCCCGCCACTCTGTGCTCCCTGCTGCCCAGTCCTGGCTGAGATGCTGCCCAGCTTGGCCGGGCACTCTTTGACATCAGAATGGAGGTAGGAGCGGTTTAGGGTCCATGGGGAAGCGGGGGCGGGGTGTCTCGAAAGGCCCACGGGGATGGGGACAGAGTGGAGCCTGGGGTCCCCTCCTGGGGTATGGAAGTGGGAGCCTACTTTCTGGAGAGAGGAAGAGGGATTCTACCTGGCTTCGGTGGGGTCTGAATCTGGACTGCACCAGTCAGGGTAGCGCCTCCTGCTGGCAAGAGACTGGACCCGGCCGGTTGCCGCCACCTGCAGGGCGTGTACGGCCACCGGGGTGGCGAGCCCAGGGGGCGCTGCAGCTGGTTGGAAAGAAGGCGCCCCGCTTCGCCTTGAACTTCCCCTTAGCGGAGCTGAGACCCGCGGCGCCAGAACTGGGAGACAGGGGTGACACTAGAGACTCCCCCGGACCGGGGCGCATCCTAGCTGGACTGTCTTCAAATAGATCCTACAGGAGCCACAGGGTCTGAGCCTGGGAAAGGTACATGGACGTGACTTCCCTGGAACCCAGAAGGAATGCCTTGAGGCTTGGGCAAGTAAACGGAACAGGAGTGTCCTTCCTTTTCGGTCCTTTCCTCCGCCGAAGTTGGGGTGTCAGCCGCCGCAGGGACCGCGGCGCCGCCTTTCTTCCTAGGGCTAGGGAGGCTGTGTGATGAGCGCGACGAGCAGGGACCAGGACCGAGCAGAGCCCTCCGCCCAAAGCCCAGGTGCCAAAGCGGCCTTTGAAGTATTCCCGCCCTCTGCCTGCGGCGGTAGGAGCTCAAGTCACCCTTTCTGGTGACTAGGTTGAGGAAGGTACCAAGGGGGAAGGGAAGACGAAGAGGGAGAGTGAGAGATGGGGATGGAAGGACAGTGGGAGGCACCCAGATGAACCGAGAACAGGGATGACAGAGGACAGACGGAAGTGGAAAGGGGCTGGACTGGAAGGCGACGGGAGAACGAGAGAGACTGACGGAGGCGGCGAGAAAGGAAGGGAGAGGGAGGGAGGAAAAGGGGAGGAACCAGGAACGAGGGAAGGAGCTGAGCGGGCGTGGGGCGAGGCCAGGCGTGCAGGCGGGAGCAGTGTGCAGAGCAGCGGCCGGGTCCTGCTCCCGCCTCGGAGCCCCTGGCCCGGGGGAGGGGGAGAGGCCGCTAGCCCGGTCTATGTCTTTTTCTGACTCCAGTGCAACCTTCCTGCTGAACGAGGTAACCGCGGGGAAGCGGGTCGGGGGTGGGGGTGGGGGTCAGTGGGTGGGAGGAGAATTCTTCTCCAAGCTAAGGACCCGCATTTGGGGGAGACTGCAGCATGTGGGGGGATCAAAGGAGGTGGTGAAACCTCTGGATAAAAGAGAAGGAGTCGTTGGAGCTGGCAGCTCCCAAGTGTTGAGACTGGGAGAAGAGGGTAGGACTGCCTGGGGAGTCAAAAAGGGACTAGATTAGAAGGAGGGCTCTTGCCAAGCTCTCCTGGTGTTCCTCAGTGAGTTCCCTGGGGGCAGCCTAGCAGCTGGAATGCTAGGAGCCTCCACTTAGTGGAGAAGTCCTAGCTCTTGCCTCAGTTTCCCCACTGGATGCCCAGATTCTTGGTGTACTTAGAGAAGCTAAAATGTATTCTGGAGGCTCCTAAGAGCTCCAACTCCCAAACCTGGTTACTTAGGCTTTTCCTCTTCTGTCTTGCTTTCATGACTAGGTTGGCATGAGAACTGGAGTAGGCAGGTGTGGGTGAGGTGAGAAATGAAAGGGGCATGGGGTAGCAACCCAGAGGTATAGGGAGGAGAGATGGAGGCTCTGAAGCATCTGCATGACCCAGGGGATGGTCTCAGGTATGAGGAGCTTGGGGAGTGGTTGGCATGGCAACTCATGCCTCAGAAGCAGACTTAGACACCATTGTCCCAGGTGGGGATGAAGACAACAAGTTGTGTGAGGAAGGAGGGCTGCTAATGGCAGGATCCCCTGTGGGTGTGGAGAGTCCCAAAATGAGAGGCCAAGACAGCAGATTCAGGGATGGGAGAGAATCAGACTATCTCCCAGGAGAAGAGCATCTTAAGAACATTACTCTTTCACTTCTCTCCACCATCTGGAAAGAGAAAGAACTGAAAAGACAGAATGAAAAGGAAGATGCAAGGAATAGCAAGAAACAGAGAGGGCACAAAAGTAAGAAGACAGTGACTGGGAACTTCCAGTACATAAGAATCCAGTAAAAATCCCTAACTGTGCAGGACTCAGGAAAGGGAACTGTGAAAGCTGACTACTTCACCCAATTGTGACAGGTGCCCTCAGCCATAGACAAAGTTGTCTGCCACCTCCAGCAGGAGGAGGCAGAGTAGGGATAGTCCTAAGATGAGGCCCCTTCTTTTTCTTGCCAAGGAAACACCAAGACATGACATAGGTGACAACAATAGGTTGGAGTGGGTTTCGTCTCTCCCACACACTTGCCTTCTGCCACAGAACTCATCAAACCCTCTCAAATTGTGGCTGTCTGATTTTCCTCTAATCCAGGAAGGTAAAGGGATGAGCAGATTCCAGAATTTACCCTCCTGGATGTGAGAAATTGGAGACTGAAAAGGACAGAACTCAGGGGCAAAAGCTCAGACAAAAGTGTAAGCTCTAAGTGTAACCCTCTTCTGTCTCACATTGTCCTTTTGGGCACCCAGGTAGGTGGACAAAATTCAAAGGAATAATTCTGCTCAGAAGATGAAAAAAAAAAAAAGGAGGGTGCTCAAGTGGATAAATCTTTGAGGAGATTTCTTCAAGAGAAGGGCTGCTGTCTTTCTTCAAATCTCAGTGCTCCTTTAAAGGGGAATCAGTGGTGCAGTGACAAGAACCTGATACCGCCCACCCCACCCCTGGCCTTTTGCAGAGCAGGAGACTTGCCTTTTCCCCCTCCCAATCCCACGATGCCAGGACCCCCACCTTCTGTCCAACCCACAACTCCCCCCAACACCCTCTAGTTTCATCCTCTCCCTTTATGCTCACCTAAAACCGCCCCTTCCTGCCCCAGTTCCCACGGATGCTTTGGCAATGTCTGGCACAATCCTTGGCAGGGAAATGAGGAAGGGAACCTCCATCCTGGCCCAAGTGGGATGAAATCTACTCGCGCAACAGGTGCGGGGAGGCCTACCCAGCTCTACGAAACTTGCCCCCTTCTCAAGGCACCGGCGACATCGCCCTTTGCTGCAACCCAGAACTGAGGGGGCCGCCACCTGTTGGCGCAGGATTTGCTTTCATGGCATCGGCCTGGGGTCGCCAAACCCAAGCCTCCCCAGTACTATTGTAGGGTTTAGCTTTTGAAGTCTCCTTGACTCCTGACCCAGATACGCCGCTCGCTCACCTGGGACCCTTTGCCGTCTGCCGCCCCCCCCCACCTGCCTTTTCTGTTTCCCTGAGGTTCCCACATTTTCCCGTCTCCCTACTTCTTCTGATCCCTCTTTTCTCTCTCTCCAGCCTTCTCGTCACCCGCACCCTCTCCTTGCTCTGCTCAGGTCGCGTCTCCTCCCAGCCTCGCGCCCCCTCCCCTCCCCCGCGCCAGCCCTTTGTTTCCCGGCGGAGTAGTTCCTGGGTTGCCGAGCGTTTCGGTCTCCGCATCTCTCCTCGCCCCGCCTCCTCCCTGCCAGGATCCGCCCCGCTCGCAGCCTCTCCTCCCACTGTCCCCGCCGCCCCTGCCCCAGAGGTGCCGGGAACCCACCTTCCCCGCCTCGCGCCCGCGCCCTCCCAGGCCCGGGCCGCGGCGCCCCCCCCCGCCCCCGCCTTCCCGGGAGGGGGGTCAGGTGGGCGGGCACTATTGTTGTAGGAGTCGCCGCCAGATTCCTCAGCCGCGCTCGGGGTGGGACCGGCTGGGCTGGGGGGGTGGGGAGGGGGAGCGGTGATTTGAGCTCCAGGCAGCTGGTCTTCGCGGCTCGCTCCCTCCTTCGCGCTCTCTCGTTCGCCGCCGCCGCCGCCGCCGCCCGCAGGGCTGCGGGGCTCGGTGGCATCTCGGGCGCGGCCCGCTGTCCTCGCCCCTGCCTCCGGGCCCCTCCCGCCCTCGGCGCCACTCGCTTCCCCACAGCCGGACTCCCCCATGTATGACGACTCCTACGTGCCCGGGTTTGAGGACTCGGAGGCGGTGAGTGCCCACAGGAGGGTGCGGGTCGGGGGGTTGGGTGACACCTCCTCTCCCTTCAACCCTTCCCCCAGGTCAGGACTTGGAAAAGCGCCTCGGCGGTGGGGCAGGGCGCGTGGAGGGGGTGCTCTAGGAAAGTGGGGAGATGAGTTCTCATGCCAAAGGTTCCCTAGTGCCCCAGGCCTAGATACAGGGGCATCAGGTGTGTGCATGGAGAGGCAGTGCGGGGATGGCTCGAGCAGGTGGCCCCAAAGACTAGGACAGAAGGTGCAGAGGGAGGAAGGGCTGGAGGCTATGGGCACCTAGGTTTTACAGAAGGAATGAGCAACATTTGGAGTTCCAAATTCTGGGTTTATGGGGTCTGAACACAACAGTTAGGAGAGAAGCTGGTACTTCAGGGAATGGGGACACACGCCACATCTGTGCCATAAGTAAGTGACAAATGAGATAGCTGGGAGAACATCAGAGTGGGGTACCAGTTTCTTCAGACAGAGGACTTATAAACTCGAGGATCTGCACTATTCCTCTCTGCCCTCCCTCTCTGAGCACTGGCACTGCCCTATCTCCTCACCCTTTCTCTAGCCTAGATTTTCTACCAGGCTGAAACCCCAGCACCCAGCACATGAGTGAGCCAGCTGACCCGGCCCCATGTATTCCCCAGTCCCCTGCTGAGGCTTCCTCAGAGCACCTAGCATTCTAAGCTACTGCTCAGCATGGAAGGCCTAGAGGTGAGGCCAGAGGAGCTGAGGGCCTGGGGATGGAGAGGAAGCTCTTTGCTCAGAAAACCAGGCAACCAATAAATATTTAATTCTCCTCTTTGCTTTTATCTCCTGACCCACTGAGACAAATCAGCTCATTAAGCAGTGATTCCGGGAGCTCAGAAGGCAGGAGAATGCCTGGAAAGATGGGACAAGAGTGGGGAGCAGTTTCACAGCCTCTTGGAGCTGTCAACCTTCTCTCAAACATCCCACAAGAAGGCCTTCTTAGGAAAGGACCAATAGATGGCTTGGAAAGGGCCTGATAGATCTGCAGGGAACATAGCCTGGGTCAAGATTTCTCCTGTTTCTAGCCCCCCAAGCCCAGGATAGATGAGTGTTGGGATTCAGAACTGGCAGCTGTCAGTCAGTCCTTAATGGGACTGGGCTCCTTCTGGGCCTAATTTTCCATGGGCCCTCTGTGGCTAATTACATTTCAGCTAGAGCAGATGATTTTCAAGGCTCTGGTGGACACCTCTTTCTGACAGTTGAAGGGACAGCTGGTATAGCCCTGGGTGCCAAGGTGAGCTTGAAAACAAACCTCTCTGTCGGGCTGCAGAGCCCTAGGAGGTTCTTCCCATCCCTGGTGAGAAGGCAAGAGCTGTTGCAAGGAAAAGACTGACACATGGCTGGTGACTGAGGGCAGTCTGCTGACCTGATGCTCCCTCCTGGTCCCTCTCTGATTCCCAAATCACCCTCCCCCTCTTCCCTTCCTCTTGCCTGGCTCTTTGCTCTCCCTGAGGCCCCCTCTGAAGCAGTAGGAGGGAGATCAGGCTCTAAATAAATCCACCGGCTCATCTCCCTCCTCTTCTTCCCCCGTGCCAGGCAAGAGAGGAGCTGCAGCCTGCCCACACACTCACCAGGCAAGGGGGGCACCACCAGGGCACTGTGCCAACTCTGGCAGTTCCCAAGTACTGAGCCTCTGGTTGTTTTGGCATAGCAGGGGGTGGGGAAGGTAAGACCACTGCATGTGCTTGGCAGAGCATCCCTGACCTCCCCAAGTGATACCAGAGCAGGATGGAGCTGGGTGGGCCCTGAGGACATGGTAATCATGGACAGGGGTTTTCATTACAAGCCCAACTTATTAAACATTTAGGGAGAGATCTTGTCTTTCCTTTCCTAGGCTGAGAGGTCACCTAGCTAGATGCCCCAGATAGGGCATTAAGACTAAGTTAAACTGATAGCCTGGACAGCAGGGAGTAAAGGTTTGACTCCTCTCTCAGCTAGGAGGTATCTGATGTATACATAGTAAGGGGCCATCCTGCCTTGCCTCCTGCCTCCTGGCCTGCTAGCTGCTATCCATTCAGCCAGCTGTGTAAGTTCCATGGAGGTAGCTCTTGCGTCCTAAGACTGTTGGTAAGACCTGAGTGTTGGTAAGACAAGGTCCTTCATCCTGCAGAGGTTCTTTCTGGAGATCATACTCTCTATCCTGCTGCCAGGCCAGCCTTGTTTGTCCTCAGGAGAGATGGGGAGCAGCAGGTACCCTACTCCTGTAAAATGAAGCATTTTGCCCCTTGTGCTAGCTTCATGCCTTTGGTCTGTTACAGATGTCTTTAGCTTAGGCTCTAGAGTTGGGCTCGCACAAAGCTGGCCAGCCCTCTTGCACAAGACAGGGCTGGGGCCAAGGGTGTGGTGGACGGCAAATGTGTGATTTTGCCTTCTACACTGGGAGTCTGACCTCTGCTGCTTTCTGGGTGGTCATGTCCAGTGGGTTTGTGGGAATAGTCTTCAGCCTGAGAACATTTCAAAACCCTCTTCTACACATACCTACGTGAACTCTTTCCTAAGCTCCTACCTTCTGTCTGCCACTGGCATCTCAGAATTGAGGGAGGTATCCTTTCAGGCATCTGCAAATAAGGAAGAAAAACTGAGGTAGAAAATAAAAGATTCTTTTTTCCCTGGACTGAGGGGAAGCCCAGACATCCTAAATTCCAGCCACTGTCTCAAGGCCTAGCTTCCCTTACTCACTTGGGCATCTCCCTTGTGGCCTTGAAGATGAACTCTGCAACCCTTCAAACACACCCTCATTGCCTAAAGACCCTATGGACAGGACTCAGACTCTCCTTGCTTACATTACCAAAGACCTCCTCCCCATCTCTCCAGAGTCCTACACCTCAGCTGGGTTACTTGGCACCAGCATGGCCTCATATCCCCTGGGTCCCAGGAAAGGGCTAGAGAGATGTAGGCCAAGTGGTAGGTGTGGCCCAGCCTCACCTGTGCCCAGGGAAATGGCTTTGTGTTGCCTTCTGTGTCTTACTTGCTGCTCACACCTGGCCAGTTGCCCCAGCAGGTGTGGGAGGAAAGAAAGTGGGGGATGGGGAGAATAAAGGGAAGGCAACTTCCGGGAGTGTTTGGGCTCAGTTTTCATCCTGCAAGGGCAAGGACACAACTTGGGAGCCTTCAAAGCCTTTTTGGAGTAGAGAAGGTGGGACTTAAGGGGGCAGATGGCTGTATCCCAACACTTGGGATCAGTGACGTGCTAATCAGCATCTATTAACTTGCTGGCTGGCTGTGCTCCTGCCAGGCATCTTAAAGCGATAATATTCAGGCTGCTTTGAAGGCTAGTGTGAACAAGAGGGCTGGTTTCCTGGGTTCAGAATCATCTCCAACATATCTTCTTCAGAACATCTCCCTTCCCTGTGCCTCAGAGGACATGGTAGAGGGGAGAAAAAGGAGGAAGGAGAAATGGAGGCTTTATTCAAGGCTGCAGTATTAATAGGCTTGGCAGGAGGGGCCCTGATCCTTGCACATAGGAATTGGTCCACCCTCCCTGTAGCCTCAAATGAACTGGGTCCCTTCTCAAGGGATACGAGGGAGCCTAGGCACCAGTGTAGGGTCAAGAGGGTGCCTCTGTGGTATCCTTTATGCCTGAGATTAGGAGTCACAGCTCTTGCTCTCTCATCCCAGGGTTCAGCCGACTCCTATACCAGCCGTCCATCTCTGGACTCAGACGTCTCCCTGGAGGAGGACCGGGAAAGTGCCCGGCGTGAAGTGGAGAGTCAGGCTCAGCAGCAGCTCGAGAGGGCCAAGGTATACCTTCTGGCAGGAGGCCAGGCTGTGTGGAAACCTGTACTGGGTCCTGGGTCCCCAGGGTCATGGTAGGATGTACTTGAATGTAGAAGAGAGAGTATGTGACAGTCAGATTCTGGCTGATACCTAGTTCCACCACTGGGGCCTCCACCTTTCCCAATGGGGTGCTGAAGCTGGCAGTGCTCTAAGGCACCTCTCATTGCACTGATGGTTAAATTTTCTAGCACAAACCTGTGGCATTTGCTGTGAGAACCAATGTCAGCTACTGTGGTGTATTGGATGAAGAGTGCCCAGTCCAGGGCTCTGGAGTCAACTTTGAAGCCAAAGATTTTCTGCACATTAAAGAGGTGATCTACCCCCTACCCCCAGAAGCCTCTAGCACTTAATTTTTCTGTTCCTGCCCTGCCCCAATCCCAATGCCTCTTAATTCAGTTTTCTGTCTGTAAATAAGTAGTCCTCAACTCTTCCACTGTTATCCTTAGATAGATCTGTATACCCCTCAGACCCTAGACCTGATCCCCAGGGTCTCCACCATTCTGAGATCTAGTTTGTTCCTCAGTTTCCATATTTATATTTGGGAGCAGTCAGAGTACCTGCCTCTGAGGTCCCCTGTGATCACTGTGATGCTACACTCTGAAACCTCATGGCTTGTGGCTCAATCTTGGCTGCCCTTCCCTCTGACATCTCCGGCCAGTGGCCTCTTGTGTATTACTAAGACCGGCTTTTGGAAGGTCTCCCTGGCTCTTTCACATTAAAAAGCCAGGCAGAGGCCTGGGTCAGTTCCTTTTACTTCCCCTTCCTGCTCCACTCCACCCCCAGAAGTACAGCAATGACTGGTGGATCGGGAGGCTAGTGAAAGAAGGCGGAGACATCGCCTTTATCCCCAGCCCACAGCGCCTGGAGAGTATCCGTCTCAAACAGGAGCAGAAGGCCAGGTGAGAGCACACAGTCCAGACGTGCACCTGAGCCACAGAACAGTCACCACACATGCATGCACATCCCCCCCCGCCCAAATGCAGATACATGTTTACACCACACAAATCTACAAGTTTGCGCACACACACACACACACACACACACACAAATGCACATACTCCGCTCTCACAAAAGTAGGTGTAAATTTGTGCAACTATTAAGTAATGTATAGAACCTACATAGAAACATTCATATTCATTCATATATTCACTCTCTCTCTCTCTTTCTCTTTCTCTCTCTCCCTCCCTCCTTTTCCTCCTCCTCAGGAGATCAGGGAACCCTTCCAGCCTCAGTGACATTGGCAACCGACGCTCTCCTCCTCCATCTCTAGGTAGCTCTCCCCCACACCTTGGGCAGATGAGTAACTAAGAGACAGGGGATGGGAGCCCTCCCCAGTTAGCTATGTGGGAAGGGGTTGGTGGAGGGATAAGAAGAGCTAGGAAAGCACAGTATCTCCCTTAGGGAAGGGAATACCATGCCTGTAGGGCCTTTTCCCTTCACCAACTTTAATCTTTTATTTCCTTTTCCAAAAAGCCAAGCAGAAGCAAAAACAGGTGAGTCAAGAAAGGGACTTGGGCTGGGGAATCATGGCTCTGGGGACACTTTTCTGGGCAGTCATTCATTGTTGGAGGGGCAAAACAAAGGGGAGGGAGCCCAGAAGTACTGACTCTGCCCCCCACAGCAGTCAGGCATAAAGGTGGGCTCTAGGGCATGACCTCCTGCCCAGAGTCTGACCTCCTGGCCATTCTGCAGGCAGAACATGTTCCCCCATATGATGTGGTACCCTCCATGCGGCCTGTGGTGCTGGTGGGACCCTCTCTGAAAGGTTATGAGGTGAGATCTCTAACCCCAGAGTCACCCTGACCAAGCCTGCCACAGGAAGGCTCCAGGGGCAGTGGGAAGGGGTATTCTACTCTCAGGATCTGTGGAGGTGGTGGACACTGGGTCCATTCATGGGTATGCTGCCTCTTTCTAAGAGGGCTCTCTGTCAGTGCTGTGACCCTCCCCCCAGGTCACAGACATGATGCAGAAGGCTCTCTTTGACTTCCTCAAACATAGGTTTGATGGCAGGTAAGCTTCCCTGGCCTGACATGGCATGAGAACTGGGGAAAAGATCATTGCCTCCTTCCACATGCCCATAGCATGTCTCCCCTAAAGTGAAAATTAGAGAGGTAGGTAAGGAAGGCCGAGATCTTAGGTTAGAAGCCGGGTATGATTGTCCACTCCAACCCCAGGATCTCCATCACCCGCGTGACAGCAGACCTCTCACTGGCAAAGCGATCTGTGCTCAACAATCCTGGCAAGAGGACCATCATTGAGCGCTCTTCTGCCCGCTCCAGCATCGGTGAGGAGTCCGTGTCCTGCTTTTCTGTCCCCACTCACTAGAAAGAACCTTCCTTCTTCCCTTTCTCTTCCCCAATTCCTTATTTTTTTGTCCATCTCTTGCACCTACCCCAGGATTATCCAGAACCCACCCTCCTCTTTGATTCCCCAGCCCTCTGCCTGCCCAGGCCTCTAGGTCCTTCCTGCCCACCATGTAGGTGCCCTCAAAACCCTGGGAGTAAGCAGTCAGTAGGGCTCCTGTTGAGCACCATTGCTCCCCCTCCTTAGCTGAAGTACAGAGTGAAATCGAGCGCATATTCGAGCTGGCCAAATCCCTGCAGCTAGTGGTGTTGGATGCTGACACCATCAACCACCCAGCACAGCTGGCCAAGACCTCACTGGCCCCCATCATCGTCTTTGTCAAAGTGTCCTCACCCAAGGTAAGTCATCAGGGGTCATAGGGGAGGCCCACAGAGCTTGGGCCCTGCCTGGAGCGCCTGAGTTCCCTTTTCCTGCCACCCCTTAACACCACTCTGAGTCATCCTCACCTGCTACTGATGCCGTATCACAAGTGGGAGACATGCCTAGTTCTTTTCAGGGCCAGCTCTGCCTGGGGCCCCAAAAGACTCCAGACCTAGCTCTGCCCTCCTACCTCAGGTACTCCAGAGGCTCATTCGCTCCCGGGGGAAGTCACAGATGAAGCACTTGACTGTACAGATGATGGCATATGATAAGCTGGTTCAGTGCCCACCAGTGAGTGCCTAGGCCAGCTGCTTCTACACCCTCTTCCAGGGCACAAGAGGGGTAGAGATGGGTGGGGGCTGCTACCGAAAGGAAGCCATATTCTCTCTTCATCCTCCCTCCTCAGGAGTCATTTGATGTGATTTTGGATGAGAACCAGCTGGAGGATGCCTGTGAGCACTTGGCTGAGTATCTAGAAGTTTACTGGCGAGCCACCCACCACCCAGCCCCTCCTGGCCCTGGACTTTTGGGTCCTCCCAGTGCCATCCCTGGACTTCAGGTAACTATTTCCAATGGGCAGGTGTGCAGGCTGATAGCCAAAGCACAACCTCCACTCTACCCAGAGGATTGGCTTTGGCCTGTAGTTCAAAAGGCCAAGGGATTGTTGAGCTCTCAGTTCTGCTTCAGCTCTGCTGTGCCAAGCTAGTGCACACAAGCCAAGGAACGTCCTGGTGGGAGAGAGAGTAAATGAATGAGCTGGGTAATCAGATACTGGCTTTCTAGGGGTCAAGAGAAACTTTCCAAACCCTTCTTCCACTCAGTTTTAAAGGCAGAGCCTGAATTTGTAGGAGTCAAAAACTGGTTTTCTCTATCTGACCTGGAAGAGTGCCCAGCATACTTCTTCCTTGTGCTATTTCCTGTACCTGAGAATTCAGAGTGGAGAGGGAAGATCCCCCACCCTGCCAGAGGTGGGAGGGAGGCAAAAGCCAGGTCTGTACTGCCTCATTTAGAGCTGTTGTGTGGCCCCCAGAACCAGCAGCTGCTGGGGGAGCGAGGTGAGGAGCACTCACCCCTGGAGCGAGATAGCTTGATGCCCTCAGACGAGGCCAGTGAGAGCTCCCGCCAGGCCTGGACAGAATCGTCACAGCGTAGCTCCCGACATCTAGAAGAGGACTATGCAGATGCCTACCGGGATCTGTACCAGCCTCACCGCCAACACACCTCTGGTCTGCCCAGTGCTAACGGGCATGACCCCCAAGACCGGCTCCTAGCCCAGGACTCGGAGCACAACCACAATGACCGGAACTGGCAGCGCAACCGGCCTTGGCCCAAGGATAGCTACTGACAGCCTCCTGTTGCCCTACCCTGACAGGCACAGGAACAGCTGGCTGGGATGTCCACTCCAGGCAGGTTGGAGTTAGACTGGCATTAGGTTGCCATTAGGCTCAGCTCCCACCACCCTTTGTCTAGCCCCAGCTCCAGGGCTGCCTGTGATCCAATGGCTCTGGAAGAAGCAGGGTGCCCCTCACCTCCTGGGCACAGTGACCCCATAGGCTCTCATTCCAGGTACTAGCTGTGTGTTCTGCACCTTCCTTGCCTCCTGCACAAGAAGCTGCCCCACTGGGCAGTGCCCTCAGGCCAAGATCCCTATAGCATGGGCTTTCCCACCAGACTCAGGGAAGGGATGCCCCCTCAGTGGCAAGAGGGTGGGGGGTGTGGGCAACATGGTACAAGGAAGAAACAAGGTTCCTGAGCAGGCAGAAGTCCTAACAACCCAGGAACTCAAGAGTTGTGCTTTGGGGTCTGAGGGCCTCACTCACCTCACTGCCACACATTGAAATGAGACAATCAAAAGCCCAACATTGTGGCACTTATGTCCATCAGCTGGGGTGGGGCATCCACATTCAACATCGGAGAAGCAGGCAGGTGAAGCTGGGTCAGAGAAAGATCTCACAGCTGAAACCCTAAGAGGAAAGGGCTCTCCTCACTCCAACAGAAAGCTTAGCATCTGCTAGGACAAGGGATCCTGGAGCAAGTCAAGTTAGAAGGTAGATAGGAGCCAACCTGGACTAGGGGTTTGGGGAGGGAAGAACAGCTTCAGGGCCTCCTTGCCTTTCTCATTCTTTTGCCCTTGCATCCTGTCATTTCTGTTCGTTCCCTTCATGCCTTCTGGAAGATAGGGGCTCCAGACTTTATTCCCTGACTCATAGCTGCTGCTTGTTAAGTTAGGGTTAGATGGGGAGACATAGGACAGACACAGTGGGCAGCCCCCAGAGACCCTGGCTACTTGGCTACCCTTGCCTATGGCTCTATTATGTGACCTACAGAGCATGTTCCTTAAGAACCTGCCCCATCTCTCTGTCATCACCAATAAAACACCATGCACAGTCCCTCAGGTGTCTGTTCTATGTGTACTGGCTCCAGTGGTCATGTGTGCCTCACCATGTGGCTCAAGTCTGGCAGAGGTGAAGTATTCTGGTCTCCCTTCTCTCTCCAAGGACCCATTGAGTGGGAAGGGGAAAAAGGCAGAGCTATTGAAAGCACTATAGTCCCAGACGCTCCCATCCCCTCATGTCTTTGTCTCTGGAGGGAGATATTTAGCAGCACAGAAGGGTCTTATTCCAAGAGATGAGGAAAGGTTTAGTCACAGTTTTCTATTGTCCATTCCTTAGGCCAAGAGGGCCCTAGAAGTAGAATCCCACATACTTGCCCAGCTCTGAAAAGTAAGGAAGAACATGTCCATAAGATGGGGTCGATAGCCTTCTCACTAACCTAACTCAACTGGTCCCAGCTAGTCACGTCTTGATTTCTCCTATGCTTACCACTCCCTCACCACCTTCTTTCATGAGCAATGCACCTAGCAACTGGGGAGCCATGAGCAAAGGTACTGAACCCAAGCAAAAGGTACATGGTGACAGGGTGAAAGAATGGTACCAACTGTGCCTCACCTGTCCAAATCTACAACTGCTTCCCTTTCTCATCCTTGTATAAAGCTTTCTAGAAAGTGTCCAGACCAGACTCACAAGTTACAAGAAGTGAGAACAGAAGGGAGATAAATTATGGTGCTGCTGCCGTGCTTTGCCATCTCCCCTCAAGTTCTACCTACAGACTTTTATAAGCTGAGACCTTCGGCTTTTCTCAATTTTTCCAGCCAATCCACCATGCCCAGTGCTGCTCTGCCTGTTCTCTGTGCTGCCAGAGAGAACCTGGGAAGTGAGTTTAGCTGGAACTAGACACAGCCTTTAATAGTCATGTATTTATTCTCAGAACATACAAACTTATCTTCTCAGAGAATAGAAAACAGAAATTTCACTCAGTGACTTAAAGATGGACACAGCCAGCTCACCCTGTCCCCACACCTACTAATAAAAATTCCCTGGGGGAGGGATGACTAGAGTGCACAGCACCCCTTGACACGTGCACAGTTCTAAAGTCTCTCAACTTGTTTTATATTCCAAATGGGAAAACAGCTGTCAAAATGACAATGAGAATCTAAGGTCCATAATCCTCACAGTGCCAGATCCCCTAGATCATTTAGGGCACTGACGTTGCTGCAACGTATACAGTTACACACTCAAGTTTGTGCTGAAGGAGGTCCCATCCAGATGGCCAGGTGTTTGTTCAGTGAACTGACTGTTCCAAAATCTGGTTAAGAGCTGACGGTCCAGTATAATCCCAAAGCCCCTGCGAGGGGCAGAGCTGAGCCAAAAATCTGGTAATTGGCTGTCCCTTTTTGCTATAGCATCTTCCTGTCACTTTTCAGTCCCACACTCAGGCCTCCAGACCTGAGGGTCTAGGCCAGGGAGTCTGATTATTTCTCACACCCCCATAGTCCAAGAGTGAGAACCTGGAAAGAAGGATGTGAAGATCTTGAAGAGCAGGCATCAGACAGCTTTAGAACATGCCCTTAAACCCAAGGGAAGAGCGCTGTGTCAAGCAAAGATGGTCTCTTCCCGGCGCTTCTTGGTGAGGATGGTGCCTGGCTTGTGCTGGGCATCTGGGTGGTTGGCTAGCTCTGGGGGGCAAGAAGACACCGGACTCTCCAGGATGGCTTGCTTCAGCTCGTAAAATACAGCTGAATCCTCTTTGGTGAGGAAGGTGATGGCCACACCACTCTTGCCTGCTCGTCCTGTGCGGCCAATGCGGTGGATATAATCTGAAGAGCAGGAGAAATGTCACTCAGGACCAGGCCAGATGCCCTGGGGAGCAGTGTCTGAAGTGTCCACTACTAAAGGTATCTTCCTCCCCATCACACCATCACAGGCAAGAAAGCTACCTCACACTCCCTATACCTGATACATCCACAGAGCTCTCCACTGCTATCTGTCTCCCTGCTCTCACTGCTGATTATGGCCACACTACCACTACTAGAGTCTCCTAGCTCCATTCTTCTATCTACCCCTAAAAACAGAAGTGTTATCCCAGGTACTGGGAGAACAAACCCAGAGGTGAGGGGCAGGAGCTCTTCTCACTGGGACAAGCATCACCAGACTGGAGCTATGAGCTCCTCAGTGACTCCGAGTGAGAGGAGATAAGAATCTCTTCTTACCTGGATTGAAACTGCCTTCCCCTGCACTTACCTTCAATATTTTTGGCCATATCATAGTTGACAACCATAGACACATCCTGGATATCGATACCACGGCCAGCCACATCTGTGGCAACCAAAATATCCTTGGCCCCAGCCTTGAGGTTGGACAGTGCAAACTCTCGCTGCTCCTGGCCTTTTCCACCATGTAGTGTACAAGCATTGTACTGTTGGAAGAATGATGAGGTGAAGACAGAGCAATCGGACCACAGGAAGATAACAGAAGTAAAGAGGGAACAGGATTGGGCTGAAAGTGTGACTCAAGTGGTAGAGCATCTGCCAAGCAAGCGCAAGTTCCTGAGTTCAAATCCCAGTATCACCAAAACAAAGGGAATAGGGATGAGGAGAGTGTTGAGGAGGGGATCAAATAGGAAAAAGGAAAAGAGGTAGGAGAAAGAATGAATGCCAAGTTAAAGTGAGGAGAGAAAAGGTGAGCTAATTTTAGGGATGGGAGAGAATGGTGTGATGAGACAGGCAGACAGGGTAAGGTCAAAAGCAAAGCAATTCCGGGAGATGTGAAGCCAGATAGATGAGAGACAAAGAATTAACAGGGAGAGATTAGGGTGCAAAGCAGGGATCAAAAACTTTAAGGAAGTTGAAGAGTTGAGTGGTTAGGACACCCCCTTCCCCTCAAGCACCAGTATCAAGACACTGATTATCAACATCTCCCTCCTGATCCCACATCTCCTCTTCCAAACATACAGTCACAAACAGGTAGACCTACTCCATTCCACAACCTCAGACCCTATCAGGATGTATCTCAAAAATTTCTCCCTGGCCCCACCCCACTTTCCATTCCAGCTATCATTGCTGGAATGGAAAGGAGTCCTCTAGCAATTGACCAGTTCTTCTGACCCACTTAAACCACCCTTTCCCCTTTGGCCCTGACTTGGTAAGTACTTGACAGACTAAGGAGCAGGTAAGAACTGAAAGCAGTTGCCCAGGAGGGCCCTCTTCTTTCAGAAAGCAGCATCTCTGAGGCCAGACTGTACGCTCCCAAACCAGACGTACCCCCATCTTCTCCAAGGACTTGGCCAACACATCACAACCCTTCTTCTGGTTGACAAAAATGATGATGGGTGGATCAAACCCTTGTTCCAAGATTGCCAGCAGTTTTTTCCTGGGGAGAAGAGGAAAAGAAAAATGAGATGCATAGTACCTCCCACTTCAAGTGAAACGCCTAGCCCTAACCTATGAATACCAATTCCACTGAAGACAATGTCCATATCATTCCGAAGAAAAAAACAGAAACTCTTCAATGCGACAGACTCATCACCTCACCGCTGGCACTCACACTGAAAGAAGTTTTCAAAACCCTCTCTTTCCACCCAGGTGCAACCTCTCCACTTCACCCACTTCGTCGTCCCCTCCCCTCCAGCCCCAGCTCAGCTGCCCTTGTACCTCTTTTCTGACTCTGACATGAGGAAGACCTTCTGTTCCACACGCTCATGGGGCTTGCCTGCAGAGCCAATGTACACCACGGCAGGTCGCCGAAGATAGCTCCTGGCTAGACGCTCCACTGCTGGGGGCATGGTGGCCGTGAACATAACTGTCTGAAAAACAGGAGGATAAGCCCTGGGCCCAGGCAGCTCAGCCCAGACTAAAGAACCTAAGAGTCCTGCTGTAAGTTTGATAGCCATCACCTTAGGAAATAGTGTCCTTTGTCTTCCTATCTTTCCTGTTCACCTAGGCATTGAAGATGCCAGGAAGAACTGAGAACATTTGCTAGCACCTGTGGTCCAGATAGTAGCATGATTCTTTCAAATCACCTTTCTAAGGCTAAGCTAAATGGTTTCACCCTAGGACAGTTACTAGGCACACCTCACTATTCTGGAAACATATACTCTGGGTCCATCCTACGTAAGAAGGACCAAGAGCTGAGAACTTGCCCAACTTTTCCCAAAACCCAGGAAAGCAGCCTTACTTGACGGTACTTATGTTTTCCTGACTCAAAGTTGGCCAACATCTTCTCAGGGTCCTCAGCCTCATCCGTGTCTGGCTTCTGGTTGCTGACAGGCATGTGCTCCAGGATCTTCTGGACGTCTGGCTCAAAGCCCATATCAATCATCCTATCTGCTTCATCCAGAACCACATAGGTACAGCGGCTCAGCACAAGGTAGCGGTTCTCTAGCACATCAATCAGACGTCCTGGGGTGGCGATCACAATCTAGGGGATACAGTGTAATCATATATGGCCCCAGCAAGCAACCCCTTCTTTTCTTTGCTGTGAATTATCCACCTATTTGAGCAACAGATCTCCAATGCTAAGGAACTTGGACCCTAACCTCCAGTCAGGTTCTCAGGATTTTTTCAGGAATAAATGAGGTTTCTGAGTAAGATTCAGTTGTTTGAGGAGGCAAAAATCAGAAGGAACTTTCTTAGATGGAAGGAAAACTAAGGGCTGCATAACCAGATTACACTGAAAAGTCTGCACAAGACTCAATTCTCTTTCTCACAGGTTCTGCCTGGAAGCAAGGAGGAACTGGGGGGAGAGGAAGGTGATGGGAGGCAGGGGGGAGAAATGGCCCAAACAACGTATGCACACGTGAAAAAACTAAAAAAAAAAAATTCTCTCTTTTTCTTGGCAGTATTGAGGGTTGAATTCAGGGCTTTGCACTTGCTAGGCGGGCACTCCACCACTTGCCATACCTCCAGTCCAACTCAATTCTTAATGGCAGATTTCTAAAAGTCTCTCTTCACCTTCCCTCAGAAGAAGGTCACATACAAAGTCAATAACATAGAAGCAGAGAACAAGAATATAGGCTTTGGATAGGAACCACTCCCTCTTCCATATGGCCCAAT